CCACTACGGGAACAGGATAAAAACATTGTCGGTGTTCGAACACCGCTGTTTACGTCGCATGCACGAGTCTGGTGGGGTAGCCGGACTAACAATGCTGATGTTAGGCGCAGAGTTTTATGCAGTCGCGGTCGTCAAATAGAGCAGGTGATCGACCTCCATAGAATACGTTGGCTGGGACATGTGTTACGCATGTCGCTATACTCGGACTGTAAGGATGAAACTCAGTCAATGTCCTTGGAGGGTGATGATTCTCTACAACTGCCAATGTGGTTTAAAGCAGCAGTATAGTGTTGATCGCTGATGAGATACCTTAGGTGATGACGTTCCATGTGACCTTTTTGTGTTCTTAAATGTCCAGAGCATGATGCGTGAAATCGGATGCGAGTCATCAACAGCTGCAGTGAAGGCCTTCACTGAACTGATCGAAGGGTTACCTTCTCCAGCATGGTTGAGCTGTTTCACCAAATGATTTGCGTGCATGTATTTGTGCATCAAGGCTGGTGGAGAACACTTCGAGAAAATGCTACGCTTATTTCTGTGTAACAAATAAAACTGCTTCTGCATCCAGAAACGTTTTTCTCAGCCGTTATATCTGTCATTTGACCTAAATCCTAATTTAAGCAACCTGAGCAGAGGTTGTGTAGGGTAACGCCAGCTTTGTGAGAAACAAAATTGTGCTCTCCAAGAGAAATCATGCGAAAGTGGAAACTCACCAGTATTTGTCGCTTCATAGTCAGATAAAATAATAGGAAGAAATAAATCACCAAAATCGGCCAAAATACTGGAATATCCAGAAATGGGAAAAATGTGCACACAATTGAGATCAACAGTGCCAATGTGCACGAATTCCTACAAAATGAAATGATAGAAAATTTCCAAAACGATAGAAAAGAAATTACCAAACTTTAAGTTCAGGTAGACGTCGCAAAAACGGTCGGAAATCTTCAGATGATTTCATAGGTAGTACAGGATCGGTGTCTGGAAAACCAAGGAAATTAACAAAGTAATTTTTATTCACTTACCCGGATCCATGTCAGGATCAATCATAGGAGACAAAAATCCGATAAGACGATTCAGTAGATAGATAGCTAATGCATAGCTCACTACGTGAAATCCCTATATTTTCAAAGTAAACGTGAAAAAACCGATTTACGTAATTTACCTGCAGAAGCAGCACACGAAACCAATAGAAGAAAAACAGAAAACCGGTTGCAATCCACCTCGGAATTAAATACGGAGTGACACTATCCATAAAGCTTTGATACATCTGCAATTGATTTGGATTTCAGTAAGAGGCACGACTTACTGTTTTCATTCTCCTCAATGAGGGAGGTGTCTCACTGAGACCAGTAGGTGGTTCTGACTGATAATAATCCATGTGCTGACTGAGTCAGGGTATCTGATTAACGTAAAACAGATATGAAGATTTGGGCAGGAGTTCAAGTTCCACGGGAATTAAATACCCTTGACGACAGTTATACCAAATGATGTCGTGCTAAAACTAAGAAGACAGGGGTCTCAACCATCCAATAAATTACATAATATGGTGAAATTAGTGATGTGGTGGTGGTGGTGTGCTTCAGATTGTTGACAAGTGTATATGCATTTTCACCAAATTCCTGAATTCCTCGCCACAAATTGAACGATCAAAATTTGAACGTGCATCAAGACTACACCTTGAATATTTATTTCTTCCATTCTTACTTCTGGATACTTTTTCTTGCCTTCAAAGTAACCTACTTAGATTTAATCCCTAAGACCATTGACTGACTTTATCGACCCGAGCGTTCCTATTCTGGGTTTAACATTCTTCGTAAACCAGTTTGGAGCGGTTGGTTAGCTACATTAAAATGTTTTGTCGATAGAGCAGCATCTGCGGAAGAAGCTACATAGTAACTGTGCGAGAAGAAGGGGAAATACCAAAACTGATACCGATCTATTACTGTTCGACTATTTTTGGTTGTTATCTCTCGTGAAAATGGCACAATCTTGGAGTCCGATGGGACACTAATTCAGAATTAGCAACGTTGTCCCCAGCGAGGGGCAGAGCATGACGAAGCTCAGTTCAACTGGTCCCGATGGACACCAGAACTTTCAACTTTTGTTGTAAATGGACAAATACAGCCATAGGATATCACCTCTTTTTCGGAAATAGAGGGTACCTGGGAAAGGCTTAATGTCTTGAGGATCAGGGGGAGGGGCCGTTTACCGATCGAAAATCACCGCTAGATGGAAGTAAGGCCGGGGCACTTGGGGCTTCGTCCCGACGGGGGAAGTTTTAGTACTCCGTTGGATAGCTACCGCTCGCCCAGCCCCCAGCCCATAAGGTGCTTCCCCGTCCACGTTCTGATTGTTTCATTGGGTGCATGAGACCAAGGGCTAATTCCGAAAGGTGCACCGAAAATCAACGCATCACCGAACAATACACTGAACAGAAACCGGAAGGTTCTGCGTCACAGGTCTCTAGCAGCTCCCACACGCGTGCTTCGGTCACGTTCCCGCATTGGATTTACGCCCCACTGCCTTGTGGGTCAGACATTTTAGTCGAAGGCTCCGGTTAGGGTTCCCAAAGAAAAACTCCCTCGGTGTGAGCCCCTATGAAGTACGTTAGGTCTCAAGTTCCTGACACCCATTTGGGAAAACCGTTTTACTAGCTGTCTAGTGCTTCCTCTCAATTAAGAATAACTCCAGCTGCCTCTTGTTTATGCTACCCACCGTATATCACTCAACATTTTACCAGTAAGGTCGAACATTCAGAAGTTACAGGATGTTTGAAACTAACATTTCCTTTTCACTTAGCCAAATTTAACGTCCACACACGCTATCAGATTGATCAACAAGCTAGAACCCTTGAAACTTTCAATTTAGATGTATGCTGTGTCTCTGAAATACTTATACAGGACCCTACTTTAATCACTTCGCTGTGTTCTGATCCGGCCGTATCCTCATGCTGCACCAGTAGGGTCTCCGACGATTCTGCAACCAACACTCGCGGCGTCGCTGATGTTGGGATTGCGCTAGATGCCAAGGCTGAGAGCACGGTTCTTGACTGGATTCTAGTCAGTAACCGACTGTGCGCTGTACGTCTCAACGGTTCAGTACAGGTCAACAGCTACAAAACAAACCGTCGACGCTTGTTCGTGATATCGGTGTGTGCACCGACCGATAGCAGTAAACCTGAAATCGGATATGAATTCTACAAGGATCTTTCTCAATTGATAAAAGGTGCTGGATCAACGGACGTATTTGTAGGCGCCAGAAACTTGAATGCTTAAGTTGGATCCCTGGATGCAACAGAAAGTCATTTTGGGGGTCCACATGCAACCCCAGCCCACACAGGGATAACGGAGACCCCCTATTTCAACTCCGCGCGGACCACCAATTGTTCTGTCAAGTACCGCACAAGAAACGACAATGCCTTAGTTGGAAACCGCCAACCTTTTCACGGCGATGGTCCCAAATCGACCACATCGCTATCAGTTACCTTTAAAAACCTCCGTTTTCATTGATCAACACCTGTGGATACAGATCACGCATTTTAAGAGCCAAATTCTTCTTACACCTGGCGAAAAAACCAAATCAGTTTCAGTTTTTACAACAATTAACCATCAACCTTCGTGCACCGGTTATGGTTGCTGTCTTTTGGTGCCCCATTTGGATAAAAGAGTAGAATGAAGATTTGAATGTTGAAACCTAATTCAAGCGGAAGATGGAGAATTCATATAGAACGGTGTTAGGGGAATAATGAGTAGATGCATGAGCGCCACTTTTTGCGACAGCCATATCACTTAGTGTCTCTAACCATCGGTTACCATCATCCCGAGGTACCCAGCCAGGGAGCCTAACGGGGATTATGTGACCTAGTCTACCGGTGAAGGTTCTCATACTCTCACGCCAGGTCTTCGTTTGACCACCTTGACCGTTTTCCAACCAGTACCTGCCTCGGTAAACATCGCTAATCGTGGCAACCTATTTGGGGACATGCGTAACACATGTCCCAGCCAACGTATTCTATGGAGGTCGATCACCTGCTCTATTTGACGACCGCGACTGCATAAAACTCTGCGCCTAACATCAGCATTGTTAGTCCGGCTACCCCACCAGACTCGTGCATGCGACGTAAACAGCGGTGTTCGAACACCGACAATGTTTTTATCCTGTTCCCGTAGTGGCCAAGTCTCTGCACCGCATAACAGGACTGGCCGAACTGCTGCAGCCTATCCTCGACCCTTCACAGACAACCGGATGTCGCGACGGCGCCACAGATGTCTCAAGTTGGCAAATGCCAACCGAGCCTTCTGTATACGCCCGACATTTCATCTGTGATGCGTCCACCGGGTGAGATATAGGCGACCAGATAGCAAAATTTGTCTATATTCAACACGTAACCAATGACTGAGAACTCGAAAATATACCATAACATATGAACAGAAAGAAATTTAAAGAATGTGTTCATGTTTAACGTTTGTCTACTTTCTCTACTACTTCCCCAGTCAGGGTGAGACTGGGTGTTGGACCAACCCAGTTTTGTAGTAGCATTTTACACTTTGAAAGTGCAAAACGCATATCGAACATGGTTACACTAGCGCACACATTTTCCAGAAAAGCTTGAAACTTACTTGGATTTCACTTAGTAGCACAATGTCGTCTGCATAATCTAGCTCAGATAATCTGCTACCTGGGAGTAAATCGATATCACTATCCTCGCACGAGGGAGGATAGGGCTGTTTCAATAATCAAACCTATAACAAAGTTAAATTGAAACGAAGAGGAGGGCAACCGTGTCGAACACCGCTTTCCGTGGTGAACTCGGGTGAAAACGTGCCGTAAGCTCGGACTCGGCTTCGGGAATTAGTATAAAGCGATTGTAATATTGAAACAAATTTCTGGGGCACACCTCTCAGAACGAGGTGGTGCCTGAGTTTAGAGTGGTCGACTGAGTCGAAAGCCACTTTCAGATCAAGGAAGATAGAAATGATGGGTGTACGAAAGGAGTGTTTGTGTTCTAGAATTTGACGAAGAGTGAAGATGTGGTCGACACAACCTCGACCGGGTCTGAAACTAGGCTGGTTCTCACGCGTGCACTGTTCCCGTGCGGCAGACAATCGACGGAGTATGATCGCAGCGAGAAGTTTAGAGGCAATGTTGATTAAACTAATTCCTCTGTGGTTTTCACAGGAGGATTTGTCATCTTTCTTGTAAATTGGTATAATCACCGATTCACACCATTCAGCTGGAACTTGTTCCCTCTCCCACACTGAGCCCAGGAGTTTTGTTAACTCCAAAACCAAGGCTGAGCCTCCATTATTGAAAACGGATGGGTACAGTCCGTCGGGGCCGGAAGCCCTATGCTGTTTGAGATAACTTATTTCCTGGGTAACCTCCATTTTAGATGGAAGACTGATGTCAACTGGTGGTATTTGCACAGTTGAAGCGGGTAGGGGGAGGTTTTGTGTCGACGGGGACCAGCTGAAGTATGCTTTAAAATGTTCTGCCCAACGTCCAAGACGGCGTTCCTGAATTCAAATCAGTGTGCCATCAAACTCCTTAATTACCTCACTTACGCCTACTTTCTCCCAAATTTGTGTAGTCCCTATCCACCTCAAANAACTCCAAAACCAAGGCTGAGCCTCCATTATTGAAAACGGATGGGTACAGTCCGTCGGGGCCGGAAGCCCTATGCTGTTTGAGATAACTTATTTCCTGGGTAACCTCCATTTTAGATGGAAGACTGATGTCAACTGGTGGTATTTGCACAGTTGAAGCGGGTAGGGGGAGGTTTTGTGTCGACGGGGACCAGCTGAAGTATGCTTTAAAATGTTCTGCCCAACGTCCAAGACGGCGTTCCTGAATTCAAATCAGTGTGCCATCAAACTCCTTAATTACCTCACTTACGCCTACTTTCTCATGTCCTGTACTGGTAAGTAAACGAAAAAGTTGGCGACTATTACGGATAGCCGCAGCCTTCTTCATCTCTCTACACTTCCCTACCCACCGCTTGTCGCAGTCACTCCTCAGACTCTTGATGAGCTGGCGTTTAAGGGATTTGCTCTTTTAGTCGTATTTTGAATCCGAATGAATGGCTTTGCGAACAAGGTAGCCGAGGTCGGGGAGATACATCGATTTCTAGTTGATCGTGCACCAGAATTCGCCGTTGTTTTGATCAACGATTGAATGGCTCCCAAATAAATTCAACGGTAAAGGATACCCAGATACCATATCAGTGATAGTTGTAAATTGGCTTTCGAGGCGGAGCTCTCCGATCGC